TTAGTCTTCTCATTAATAAGATTGGAATAATATGTGAGTCTAGCTCAAAGCACTACTACAAGTGCTTTCAGCACTACCCACCTTGGGGCAGCAAACATTCAAATGAACAGCAGCAGAGCTAAGATGAGGAGAATCACAATTACCTGTCTCAAGCTGGGGTTGGGCAGGGTAGGGCCTTCCCCACCAAGAGGTGGGACCAGGTCTAAATTCATCCCCACAGCTGGAGGGGTGGGGGAGGAAGGTAGTGAATACAAGGGAATGTTTCACTACCTTTGGATGATGTGATTACAAGCAATTTTTGTTCTGGTTTTGCTTTTCTGCACTGGGTATATAGAACATGCACTGAAAAATCTGATGCCTAGAAACGGCATCTAGCACAAAGTTAATGCTCTATAAATACCTACTAAATGAAGGAACTTCTAACTTCTACAGTGTGTTTGGTTTTGCAAGTATGTTTATATGCATTTATTGCTTTGCTTCTCATAATAACTTCTTATAGGACATATAAGATTAGCCTAGAAAATAAGGCTAATCTCAGAAATTTCTAACAAAATACGGACTAAACTAGAACTTAAAATCAAAACACACTAAAGCACTAAAAGTGGATTCCTACTCACATTCCCAAGTCAGAGAGCTGAATCACTTGTGCAGTGTTTGAAAGGGGGCAAGCAAAGAATAAAGAAATGTAACTTTTTTTTTAAAGTTTCAATAACCTGGGCAGACCCAGTGGCTCAGCGGTTTAGCACCACCTTCAGCCCAGGGTGTGATCCTGGAGCCCTGGGATCGAGTCCCACATCAGGCTCCCTGCATGGAGCCTGCTTCTCCCTCTGCCTGTGTCTCTGCCTCTCTTTCTCTCTCTCTCTAATAAATAAATAAAATCTTTTAAAAAATAAAAATAAAAAAATAAAGTTTCAATAATCTTTTCAAACCATGGGGGGGGGGAAACCTGAGTACAGTATATCTATTTATTTAATCCTCATTTTAATTCTGTAAAACAAATAACTGTGTCTATTTTACAGATGAGTAAATAAAAACAAGGAAGTTAAGTAACTTGCCTAAGATCATACTGTTAGTAAAGCAGCAGATCCAGGCAGGTTTCAAAACCAGGCAGTTTTGAAAAAGTAAGATCAAGGGTAAGGTCAAACAAGTTAAAAAAAAAAAAAATGTCAAGAAGTTAAAACAAAATCTTGGAAAAGGTAATGATAACATTTTATTTCAATTCAAAGGATCAATAAGCCTTCACCTATGGGAACAGATAAAAGCATGCTCTTGATTATTTGAAATTCTAATAATTACAAGCAGTTTTCTCTTGTTAAATACCATTGTAAACCTCTCTTATTAACATTGTTATAACAAATATACTCGGCTTTCAACTCTAAGAATTTTACAGCACTGCTCCACAGTAAGTGCTTCTTATTCTTAACTTTGTAAAACAAAAAGGCTAATGCACATATTAAAAGAAATAGACCATCTCCCAAAATGACAACTCCAGCAGAAAACCACTCTAAGGAAGTTCTCCTCTTTGCTAGCTACAATTTACAGTCACCTAGGGACCTTTGAAAAAACCCGTAACACAGCACCCACTCTGGACCAATTAAATCAGAATATCAGGGGGTGGCTAAAAGTGTTTTTAAAAGCTCCCCCAAGAGACTCTAATGTGAAGTCAGGGTTGAGAACCACTGTTTTAAGGAAATCTAAACCCTCTGTTATTACTTCATCCAGAGCTTTTGTCCATAATGGTCTGAAAAAGAATTCAGTCAACTTATGCAGTCAATTTGCAAACAGCCAGGAGGAGAGTAAGATAAATAGGACCCCTCAACTACTAAAAGGGGTATTAATTCTAAGTGCACTTAGCCCAGTATATTAGACAAAAATCAAGGCAAAAGGATTCCATTAGTGTTCTGGATAACAGTAACCTCAATTAATATATGAAATATGCCAACAACCAAGCTACTTCTATTTCTCAAACCCTAGATTTTACCATCTGTGAAATGGTGCCATGCTTTCTAATGGACTCTAGTCCAATAATTCCAGAAGAGCGACACTGAAAGAACTAAATCTTGAAACTAAAAGACCCACATGTATCAACTTTTTTAAAAAATTAAACAAAGATTACTTAAACTGAACTTTAAAACTATAGAATTACTGGCAAAGAAAATCTTTTCATGCTTGCCTACAGAGAGTGTCAAGACCACCATAAGAACTCTGAACTCACATGCCTACGTTTTTGTATTTGCCTACTTACGGTTTCATGGGAATATGAAATAAAATAAGCTTCAAAACCAAATATGAAAATATCCTGTTGTGTTAATCAAAAATATTACTACAGGTCCACATGCTTTATTCAAAACAAACATGCTCCATTCAAAAATTTCAGAATTTTTAAGATTCCAAAAAGACAGTAGTGTCTCTACCTTTACAAGCCCCTGAGGTCTAAAACAGCACCAATAATCAAAGAACTTAATATTCCAAATTAATACGCTATATTAATGATAGTTTTCTAAATGAGAAGAATACTGTAAGTAGCCTCTTAGTGATACAAATGACCCAATTATTTTTTCTGCAAACATCTGAAAAAAAAACTTTCTTTCTCAGAGCTTCAGGTGAACCTACTAATTCTAAGATTTCTCTTTGAAATTCCAAGACAGTGCAAATTGAATTTCATAAAAAAGTCCTTATGATAAAAACATCCTTTTAATAGCACTGTAATTCTAAAGAAACAACTCAATTATGTTAGATACACAAAAAGAGTCCAAGCGGTGTCCGCCAGTGTTCATGAAAATGATTAGAAGAGCATTTAAGCGTCCACCTTCGTTTTCACAGTGCAATTGTGAGCAAGGCCAAACACGCACATCAACACCTGCACATTTACTGACTGAGGCAAGCCTGAAGCAGAGAGCCAGATGTCAAGACAGAGCAAATCAACACCTTTCTATCTAGCAACGCAGAGACCACAGAGGACTTTGCAGCTAGGCTGACCAGGCTCCACCACAAAGGACAAAGTTACTTAAGCTGTCTAAACTCCAGCTTCTTCTCAGAAGGGCAGAGATAAGAGTAATAGTACCTACTTCATTGTGTTTTAAGAGAATTAAATAAAGTGACATCTGAATGCCAAACTTAGAGTCATTATTAATTCCCTACCACTTTTCCAAAGACCACTTCTATGCCGTGAAGGAGCTCATGTATCACTTGCCTGCAAGTTATCAGGCAAATTTTATAATACAAAACCCACCAAGAAAACAGGGCTTTCAAACTTCAAAAATCCAGTGTAGATTAAAATGACTAATTTCTGAAATCAGCAGCTTCTCAAAACACATTCTAACCAACCCTACCTACTCTCCTGGTACCCTTTTGTCTGCCACACGGCCAGCTGCACACACAAAGGGATAAGTGAAAATAAACCACTGTACTGAAAAGTGCACTTTTAACTCAAAATACAATGACCAGAATTTTTGATAATAGGTTAGAGGCTTTGCAGACAAGGGAAAAACCATCACAGTATTAAGATTTCTTCATTTATATACGACCCCTGTCCAAAGAACCCAGACAATTCACACACTTAGGAAAAGGAGGCACAACAGTCCAGAAATCCGATTTTCGTCAACTGTCCACTGAATAAGAAAACCGGTAACTCTGGGCAGATTTTTGCACCTATTGGATATTTTTAAACTTACTATCAAACGTTCTACAAAATGGAATGCTTTGTTATTTACCTTAAATGCAAGCTAATTCCATTATGTAACTCAAGAATTTTACATCTGAGCACTTGAGTCAGTCTTAAAACGTAACAAGCTCTCAGCTGAGTCAATGCTCCCCCAAAGGGTATATAACCTGGACAGCCTAGACTTCCACCCCACCCGGCTTCAAAGAAGATCTCTAATCAAGTTAGCATAACAGCGTAGCTCCTGTGATATGGAAAGCTCTCCCCAGATGCCAATACCCCCCAAAAAACCTACCAGTTACTGTTAAAATAACCCATTAGGCCCCGGCAGGCAGTTCCATCAGCTTTAGAGAGATCACTTACCGTATATCCTAGGACAGCGCACCATAAAATAACCCCGGGAAGGAATCTATGTTAGTTAGTTGGTGCTCAAATCCCAGGTGTTTAACGTGGGGGAAAAAAAAAAAAAAAAAGATTCAGGACTGAAAGCAGATGGACCAGCTGGCTACCTCGCAACTACCTGCAGAGGATGAACTACCTCCAAGACTCAATCCTCCATGCTCGCACTTTTTTTTTTTTTCCGCCATCAACAGGAAACTCCAAAGAGAAGGAAATAGAGAACGGCCTCTTTTTTTTTTTTTTTTTTTTTTTTGCAAAGGGTTAGGAAAACGGCATTGCCTCCCAACCCCAACCCCACAGTGTTAGTGAGCAAAGGATAAAGCAACAGGGGGGAAAGGGCCGCCGCGGGCGGGGGTGGGGTGGGGTGAGCGGGGGCAGGGGAGCCCCGCGGGGAGCCCCAAGCGCGACGGTGCCCTAAGCGGGGAGGCGAGGGCAGAGGGAGCATCGGGGGCTCCGAGTGGCCGCGGGCACGTCCGGCCTCCTCCCCTCGCCAACTCTGGTCTCACCTCCCCGACCCCCATCCTCCCCATCCCCATCTCGCTCCCTCCAGACGGAAAAATGTCCTATACGATCCGAGGCAGGGAAGACAAAGAGGCAGGAGGAGGCTGCAAGGGGCGCCCGGAACAATGGGTGCGAGCGGGCGAAGCGAAACTCCTGAAAAAAGACAATGAGACGAGGAGCGGGGCGCAGCGGAGCCCGGAGCCCGGAGCGCGGAGCCCGGAGCGGAGCCGGGAGCCGGGAGCCGGGAGCGCGGAGCCGGGAGCCCGGAGCCCGGAGCCCGGAGCGGGGAGCGGAGCCCGGAGCCCGGGGCCGCCGACGCCTCTGCACCGGGCGGGCGGCTGCACCCCGACGCTGGGGGCTGGGCCGGGCGGGGGCGGCGCGGCCCACCGGCACCCGCGGGGCCTGCGCGGGGCCGCGGGCAGCGGCCGGCAGGACTCACCGGCGTTCTGGTCCCGGGGCCAGAGGTAGTAGGTGGCCGGGATCACGATGAGCCCCACGAAGGAGGTGAGGAAGTAGAAGAAGGTGTTCCCGCTGTCATCGTACTGGAACTGCTGTCCCGCCATGGCACCCCCCCCTCCGCCTCGCTCCGCTCACCGCCGCCGCCGCCGCCACGACCCCGCCGCTCTGCGCCCCGGCCCCCAGCGCCCCGGCCCTGTGTGGCGTAGCTCGGGCGCCGCCACCGCCGCCGCCGCCGCCGCCGCCGCCGCCTCTCCTCCCCGCCCCCACGCTACTCTCACGGACACGCCGCCGCCGCCGCCGCCGCCGCTGCCGTCGCCACCTCTCGCGAGAAGACAGACTTCCCGCCCCGCTCGGCTTTTCCCTCCCTCTGCCTCTCCCCAGCACCCTCGCTAAGGGAGACGTGGCGCGCGCAGCCGTGGAACTCCGCGAGGCCCCGCCCCTGACTCCGCCCCCAGGGCGCGGCCCCGCCCCCTTGCTCTTCTGTGGCTCCTCCCCCTCCGGAGCCCCGCCCCTAGCCTTGGAGCTCACCGGCTCCCCCCGCCCTTTCTCTTCCGCCTGCTTTCTCAGCGATCCAGCCGTGTCGGGGGGCAGGGGGGCGTTTTAGGGGGTTCCGGCAAAGACCCGCGGAGCAGTGGGTGCACGCGGCTCACCTGGCTGCGCCCGGATCCGCAGCTCTTCCGAGCAGAGCTGAGGCTTCCTTGCCTCTCCCTTCTCCCATCCTTACCTCACCTTGTCCTGCCCTCTCGCTTATTTAATTTCCCTGGTCGACGATAACATTTCTTTAGGTTCCAGGTCCGTTCCTCCAGTCCCCACATTTTGAAAACGAGGGTCATTCAGTGTTGGGCGGCGCAGGGGGGTTTTGTTGGCAAAGTAATGTTTGCTACTTAAAAGACTGAGGTCTGCACTGAGCCCATTTTGCAGATGGAGCTTCCCCAGGCGGACAGAGACGGTGACCTACCTACCCATCCCAGAGGCGACACGTTGTAGACACCAGGTCACCAGTGTCCTCTTTGACCTCTATTGCTTTATATAATTTAATCGTCAGTAAAGGGATGTCTGGGTGGCTCAGTGGTTGAGCGTCTGCCTTCGGCTCAGGGAGTGATCCGGGTCCGGACAGGGTTGCCGGCTTCTCTATCTCTCTACCTCTCTCTGTGTGTCTGTCCTGAATAAATAAATAAATAAATAAATAAATAAATAAATAAATAAATAAATAAATAAATAGATAAATAAATAAATGAAATCTTTTAAAGAAGAATAATGATAATAGTCAGTAAACCCCTTGGAGTAAATCAATGCATGCTCCCTCTCCAGATGAGGAAATTGAGGCTTAGAGAGATCGCCTAAAGTCATGCACAGTAAAAAAAAAAAAAAAAGAGAAAGAAAGAGAAAACAGAAAAAAGGTCTGGGGATTCAAACCCAGATTACTCTGATGCCACAAAGCCAGTGCCCTTGGCCACCACCTCGTCGTGGGCCTCACATTGCCCTCAGAGTGGCTGTCACTCCTTGGGATGTGTGGGCATGGTCTGTGCTTGGAGAGGGACAGCTAGGGAAGCAGTCGCTGTCAGGAGGCTCTCTCTTGGCTGCCTGTTGAAGTCCCAGAGGCCCGAATCAGCTGAGCTAGGAAAGAGAGGGCTGGTGCCCTGATCTGAGAATGACCCCCCCACGGTCCCACTGTAGCCCTGGCCAGAGGCCTATCCCAGTGTCTCCATCTCCCCTCTAGGGATCAAAAGGAAAGACCCACCCAACCTACCTCACAGACTGGTTGTGAAGATTAAAGGGAATGGTAGTGAAAATGCTTTGAAAAATGTAATAAGCAGGGGCGCCTGGGTGGCTCAGTCGGTTAAGCATCTATCTGCCTTCAGCTCAGATCCTGATCCCCAGGCCAGTGGGGAGCCTGCTTCTCCCTCTTCCCCCTGCTCATGTGTTCTCTTGCTCTCTTGCTCTCTCTCAAATAAATAAAATATTTTTTAAAAAAGAGAGAGAGAAAGAAGGAAAAATGTAATAAGCAAATACCACACATTGCACTATTTTTTAAAATGTGTTTTAAGACTACAATCTATTTACTAACTTCCTTTCAATATGCTTTCACATGTCTTTTATTTTGTGTCCTCAAAACTAGCTTTTATCATAACTGGTAAAGCTTTTCTTCATAATGGATTATTTTCACGTGGAATGTCTCTTCCTTTTCAAGTGTCCTACCTACCCATTTTGAAAAGGAAATTTTAAAAAATCGTCTTCTCTGCATTTCCTTCCTCATTTTTTTCGGTATAAAGTTTTCAAGGCTGTTTTAGAGGAGAAAAAAATAAAAGAGATGTGAGGGGAAGAGGACTGAACTGTGAAGTCAGCACAGCATTCTGATTACCCCAACTCAGATATGCCCAGAACAATTTGCCTTGCTTCAGAAACAAATTAGCCATAAAATTGGCTCAACTGAAGTGGGTAGGTTCCTGAAGTTTCTTTTGTTTATGTTGAATTTGTTATTAAGTCTTCCCAGGTTTTCATAATGCTGAACAAGTTATTTTTTATTACTCTGATTATACGTTTTACTCAGCATTTGTGCAAAGATAATACATCAGTTTTATAACCTTGTGACAATATAAATTATTGATGATAAATCTCTTCCTTCTGACTTTTTTTCCTGCAGGAGTAATCTTTTCACTGCAGCTTTGGGTGTTTGCATAAGAGTGACTTGAACAAAACTGAAGTATGAAATAACATTTTGAATGAATCATATTTATTTGCTAACCTCCAGACCAATCTAAAACATGAATTTTTTAAAGCAAATTAAAGAATGTGAAGGGAGGTGTTGGACAGATATTAGGGCTTGATTACGCTCAACTCTGAAATCATGAAAACAACTTTAAAGAGGGATTGAAGGCTGTGGTTTGTCCTTTAGGATTGGGAGCAGGTCTGTATTTTGGCTCCTCTCTTTTCATAAGTATCATCTGTTTTTAAAGATATAAAGACATTTTATCCTAGAACTTAACGATAAGTTAAGAACTTAAGAACACAAATAAACTCGGATCACTCAAATATTCTCCAAAACAAATCTGAACTATACCTTTAATTAATCACAATTTCTGATTCAGGGTATTTTCAAATTAACACAGTAGTTTCTTTAAAAGGACTATTTTAATGAAACATTTAATAATAGTAAGTGAATATGGTGGAACCAGATCTACATACACATTTTGTTCTTAATCTAATAGCATGTTTTAAAAAGGCATTTTTGTATTATCTATATGTCTGTAAATTAATATTTTAATCAACTTCATTTTGACTGCTAGGTAGGTAATTCCTCTCAAGTATAGAAAGCCTGACTATTTTTAGGTTCTTCTTAATAATTTACTTTTTCCTTACTTTTCCTTTATGTGGCCGTAATCAATATTATTTAATTTTCCATTTAATGGAATTAGCCTCAAAGAGACTGGAAAGACCCAAATTATTAGGTAGGTACATGCAATTATTTGTAGTCATTTCTCCCTCCCCCTACCCTGTAATAATCTTCACTGCCAAAGCCTATCAAATCATCTTTAATGTTAAACTCCTTATTACTTTGTTTCAGAGTTAGAATGTTCTTCCATTAAGAGCTAAACTCAAGCATCTAGGTGGCTCAGTGAGTTAAGTCTCCAACTCTTGATTTCAGCTCATGATCTCAGGGTCATGTGATTGAGCCCCACATGGGGCTCCATGTCCAGCCGGGAGTCTGCTTGAGATTCTTTCCCTCTGCTGCTCCCTGTGCTCTCTCGCTAAAATAAATAAATAATTTTTTTTAAAGAACTGTATCTCTTCTAATAGAAATTAACCAATTCGTTCTTATTTGTCCTTAATAGACATGAGGTTACCCCCTTAGTAATGGCAATAGTAACATCAACAAAGTAACATTTGTACCAGACTTACAATTTACAAAAAGCACCCACCACATTATTACAGTTAAAATTTCAGATCATGGCCTACACATTGGAAATTTGACTAGATAAAAGGTATCAAACCATTTTAATCCTTTCATTCCCTACCCCTGTAAGAACCTTAGGATGCAATGAAACCCCAGTCTTACACTTGGAGAGAATGCGAAGGGATGTGTGGAAAGACATTGGGACTTGATTATGCTTAACTCCAAAACCATGAAAACAACTTTTTTTAAAGATTTATTTATGAGAGAGAGAAAGCATGAGAGAGTGAGAAGGAGCATGATTCCAGGGGAGAAGCAGAGAGAGAAGCGGACTCCCCACTGCTCCCCCCAGGAACCCAGGACCTTGACCGGAGCAGACACTTAACAGACTGAGCCACCCAGGCACCCCATGAAAATAATTTTTTTTTTGAAGACAATTTTAAAGGAGAAATAGAGGGCAGTGGTTTTTAAGTGTTAGGAGTAGGTCTCTTTTTTGGCTTCTCTCTTTTCATGAGTATGTTGAACTTATCAATATTCTTACTCTACCCCTACTTTTGTGATTACAAAGCTGAAAATTTATTGCACTAAAAACAGTTGTCAATGGTGTATCAAGAAACTCAGGTCAGGGGCACCTGGGTGGCTCAGTGGTTGAGCGTCTGCCTTTGGCTCAGGTCATGATCGCCTGCTTCTCCCTCTGCCTATGTCTTTGCCTCTCTCTCTCTGAGTCTCTCATGAATAAATAAACAAAATCTTAAAAAAAAAAACCACCTCAAACTCATTCCTTTATGAATTAATTACCAACATATCCAAATTGCTTGATTAAAAAAGATAATGATTGACATTGCCCAGTAAGCCATAAAATAGCTCTAGATGAAATTTCCCACCTTATTCTTCTTGGAAGAATGGCCCTATGTAGACAGAAGAGTTCATTATGGGCAAATATCAAAGGCATATACTGGAGTAGGAAGAAAAAAAATCTCAATAGAGATCAGGACTTCAGGAAAAACATAAATCATCTTTCTGAAAAGCAAATATTTGTGGGTCCTAACGCATATAAGATTGGAGGACCCTAATTAGAAAGAAGAATATAAAATTAGGATTATAAAATTAGGCACAAAAGTCAATATTTCCTTTGGACTCTGGGTGATAATGATGTGTTAACTAACATAGGTCCATTAGTTGTAACAAAGATTCACCTCTATGAGGGATGTAGATATGAGGGAGGGGCCGTACATGAGTGGGGACAGA